CACACACACACACACACACACACACACACACACACACACACACACACACACACACACACACACCACACAGGAAGATCGGGAGACAGTACGCTCGAGCCGGCATTGTTGGCTCGGTGTTTGAGCTCGTTTCGGCTTTTAGGTGACGCGGGCAGCGTAAACTCAGCAGCCGAGAAAGAGAAGCGATGTTGTACCGTACACTTCGGCGTTCCGGCCGCGGCCTTGAAGATGGAGAGAGAGAGAGAGAGAGAGAGAGAGAGAGGGGAGAGAAACAAATTTCCCAATCTTTTTTTTCGGGAATCCAATTTGTTAGAGTTGATCTCTTGAGGCTGGTGTTAGTGCGTAGCGACAAAAGATACTAGAAGCTATCGAGAGAGAGAACGCCCGCGAGCCGTGGATAGAAACCGCAGCGCCGAGTTACGTACGTGAGCGGTACATGAACGCCTTTCAGCACATCGATATCATAATCTCATGCGTAATAGAAACGCATAAAGACATTTTCCCCTCCTGTCAATGTGCATGCCTGCCCCTCTCGACCGTAGCCATAGCTGGAGTATGGCCCATTATCGCAAACTCACTCGGACTCGCCGCGTCTGTCTCCCACTTGTTTCTTGTTATTCTAATATTCTAAAAATTATTCAAAAAATTCTTTTGCGTTTAGGTTTTCGTAATTTTTGTCGCGCAAATGACGTCACGACAAACGAAATTCATGGCATGTAGATGGCAAACAAAAGCTAGAATTCTCCTCGCCGCGTGTATAAGTCAACATTAATTTGCGAAACGCCTGTCGAATGCGTGAGGCATGGATAATTGATAGCTCTATAAAAAGGACGAGTCGCTAATGATTTCCCAATACACTCCCAATACATTAGAGCGTGTACGTCACTCCAATTACTACTTGAAAATATCTTCCTCCTTCCCTTCCCTATGAACAATAAAAATTCTTAAGACTATTGTTGACGTTCCTGTTTATCTGACGTGGCTATATTGCTCTACCGTAGTTCCTATGGTGCCCTTCATTTCGGGAAATTCCAGCAGGCACGACATACACGCATATGACTTTTTGTCTTGGCTGAAACATTAATTGGCCCAAGCTTTATACCTTTTAAATAGCTTTTGAAACTACTTATCCGGTAAGGGTTTGTGGAATATAATCCACAGTGATTGTGTTTGTCTTTTACGCAAAACGCTATTTTAATTCACGATACCTGGCTAACACATGACCTAGTCAATTTAGGCGCGGTAGGTGCACATATACGTATCACTTAACCAGTCGCTCCACGATTTATCTGGATTCGATAAGTCGTCTGGGGCTTAAAAAGAAGATAATCGTGAGTAAGAAGACGTATTTCATTATTTGTATAAGCTGTATGGGGCTAGCTTTCTACTATGTTACCCTGTGGAATTGAGTCGACGCAGAGACAAAGCCTGTCGCGCGTTGACGGTTTGAATAATAGACGGCAGGAGACGGCGTAGCCAGCCATATAAGCTCGTGAAGCACTGTGTGTGATTGATCGACTTAGCGTAGAGCGTAGATAGCGATTTAATGGGTTTTATAGTTCAACAGAGGCAACACCATATATATGTCTGTATAATATATATATATATATAGCGTGAGAGAGAGGGGAAAGGGAGAGAGAAATAAACGAAAGAAAAAGGGGGGGTGGGAAAGGGAAGCCAGGCAGAAATGAGAATAGATAGGTACAGAGCAAGAAATCTGGACAGTTCAGAACCTACCCGCAGGATGCCGGAGATCATGCAGATCGTGAAGATGGCCAGGAAGGTGTTGATGCCGACGATGGCGATTTCAGCGGCCTCTATCGCTGAAACATCGACGAACACACGATTACTTATTGAACGCCGGCATGATTCGAATGAGATATACATACAACTTGAACGGTTTTTTATCTTTATCGGTTTTTATTTCGTCTCTTTTATTCTCGCCGTTTTTAGACGTCCCCCATGGCAAGCATCCCCCTTATGCATTGCGCATGGGTATGGGCGCGTCTAGCAGGTGGCATGGCGCGATGCGCGTGGGTATTTGACCTTTATTGCCCATGTGCAATTTATAACAGAGGCATTTGCCCTAGGGAGGACGTTTACCATGTTCTAGCAGCAGACAGGCTATTGGTAGCGATGCGCAGCGATCGCCCCGTGCGGCCGCGTGGGACACTGCTTGACGCCTGCACTCAATGTGTACGACGTCCCATCAAACACGGACACCTGTCGCCGGTCGTGATCGAGTCGTCGGCAGCCGACATAGGTCACGCGACGTCATCGATCAAAATAGGATCTCACGTCGCGTGACTACTAATGTGTACACGTGCTGTAGTGGCTAAGTCGAGTGTAGTGTAGTGACTCGAGAAAAAAAAGACTACATGTCTACGGACGGACATTTGCTTGAGAATTCTGCGCGTCATCGCGGTGGGGGGGAATGAATGCTTACTATCGACAGTCTACCACTTGTGCTTATAGGGTCTATGTCCGCCAGGGTACAGCGGCAACGTACCGCCTGTACGGTCCGGTATACGCAGAACGTAACCCCTGGTCTTATTGAGTATGGTTAGGGTTAGGATTAGGTTGAGGATTAAGGGTAGGGTCGGATTCGGGTTAGTGGTTAGGGTTAGGGGAGTAGGCTAGGCGACTACCAGAACTCGTGTGGTGGAGTAGCGAGGTGACGTAACGGCATATTGATAGTAACCAGGGTACGTTCCGGTATAACCGGAGGCGTACCCAGGGTACGATTCCGGCAGTACCGATCGGGGGACATAGACCCTCTCCAGCACTACTTGTGCGCCAGAAATCTAGCGCATGGGAGAGTAAGCACGGCAACATGGGGCGAACGATAGTTCCCGTTGTTGAGCGGTATAGCCATGTCACATATAGATCCTGTTTATTTAGGTACGAACGGAGCCCATTCGTATACCTGGTGAGCCATAGCTCTTGTTGTTAGAAGATGATCACGCTAACATGGCGGACTATAGTTTTGTTGTTTTGGTGGACAAGTAAGCAAACCGCCCGCGGGGCCGATAATGATGATAGTCAATGGCGGTTCGGAAGATGGATGGAAAAAATATATAGAAGACAGAAATAACATAGCAGTCCTAAACTACAGCCCGTAGCCAGCTTTGTCTATTGGGGGGGGGGGGTTTCGTTTTTCAATGTTGGCAATTTGCTCGCAGGGGGCGTGTACAGGATTCTGTACCAGGGGGGGCAACCGTACCCAAAGGTGCGAGCACGCGAAAGGGGGGTCTAGGGGGCAGACCCCAGAATTTTGTTTTTAAATTAGACCCTCAGATGCCGTTTTCTGCGCGAGCACGGGGGGTCCGGACTCCCTGGACCCCGCTGTACAGCGCCGCTGCTCGGGCGCGAAGCGACCAAAGGCGAGAAGCGCAAGCGACCGAGCGGGGGAGGGTGTGGGAGGGGGTGTTTCACTGTCACCCTCCCGCAACGATGGAGATTTTGCAATTATTACACTAAAATGGAGCGACCTGAGGTGAAAATTCTTGCCAAAAAATTTTTCCCAATTATTATTTTTTTGGCTTGGGGTGGGGGGGGGAGGGCTCGGGGGTTCGTTCGAACACCCGCGAACCCCCCCCTGGCTACGGGCCTGTACTCGTATGAATCTTTCTAAATGCAGGCGGCGCGAGTCCTCCGCAGCATTCATGCCACGGCTTGCCGTCCTTGCGGGACGTCGGGCATGCTGCGAAATCATAGTGAGCTCGTTTTGCACGACGGATGCGTTCTACGACGGATAAAAAACCTGTGACCATACCGTCGGCGTGCTGAGCGTCCGTCCTGCGTAAACTCGTTTCGATTTTCACGACGGCGACAAATTGCCATTTGAATACATGACCCTTTGTTTTGATCGCGCGTCATTTAAAATGGCGAATCTTTAACGCGGTTCTGGTCATTGTTACGTTTTTGAATCTAAACATGCAGAACACTTAACTGTAAGTATGTAATACTAAGACCTTTAGTATTATCTAGTAAAAGACCTCATTAATCCACGCCTGATTATGACTTTATCATTTCAACATGGGCTTGTCACCACAAATAGTGAACTTAGCGGATATGCATAACTCTCTCTCAAATCATCGTGTCGCTTGCTTCAAAAGTTTGTGTCATGTCGAAGTCATACAAATGATACAATACATCAAAATGGCATAAGTATCCGTCAAAGTATGTCAACGTATCCGTCGATGACCATGCGATCGAACCAGGCGCATGCGCACTGCAGGCACGGCTGGCTATACGTCGTCGTTCTCGGCACGACCGGTGGATTTACCCCGAGAACCGTCGTAGAATCCTCAGGAGCGGATGTATCACAAGATTCGAGCATGCCAGACGTCCCAGTGGGTGTTTCACGTCGTAGAACGATCCGTCGTGGCAAAACGAAAGCTCACTAATACCCCCCGTAGCAACTACGCATTTTTAGACTGCATATTTGACCCTACTTTAAATGAGTCAATCAATTTCTCCCACGGCTCAGTTCTCTGCGTCGCCACGTCCACCCCGCAGACAGCGAGGTACAGCGATTGTACAATTACGTGACCGACATAAGGCTATTGCGCATGCGCATTGGCGCAACAAGCGGCGCGCTAGGCACCGGATTGCGTACAGACCACACGCTTAAAGCGGATACTTAGTCTGGACTAAGTTAGCCGCTGCTTCATTTGGCGGAGTTCTAACTTGAGCTGGCGGCAAGCGCGTATTTTGAGGGCGGGATCAGCGTGTACCACACTGCAATATGTACGCGCGTCAGCGCGCCACATCAAGTTTAATACTATATCAAATTCTGAGTCGTACGGGGTAATAAGCTAGGAGGAGGAGCCGAAGAAGAGTGTGCTAGGTGAGCGCGCAAGAATACGCCCCAAGCCGCGCCATCGCTATTACGTAGAGGTTCTCTCGGAGCGACAATCTAGGCGGAAAGTTATATGTCTGCCGTGGGCCGGTGGGGAAGACAGGGAGGTGTCCGTGTGCGTGAATAAAATATAAATGGCCGTGATCTATAATAAATATTCCTCTTTGACAAAAGGACGCGCCTTGTCTGTCGATTATAGCCAACGGCTGTGTTACGGGTAACCCTCAGGATCTAAGTAACCCAACCATATACTAAAGTTAATCCACCGGTAAGCTACCACTTTTACATTGTAAAAGCTGATGAAAAATGTACAATATCTCTAAATCAACGGTTAACGTATAGTCCAGGAGTTGGCAAACTGCGGCCACGCGGGCCGCATAGCGGGCCCTCTACGGGGTTCTTGGGCGGCCCGCGGAAGCCTGCAAGCATAATAAAAAATAAATAAAATAAAAATAAAAATAAAAACCTAATTTTTTTTTTTTAAACATAAAATTTTTGTGAAAGTCCAACATGTTTGTGGCTTGAACCGAGGCTGACTTTTCAATTGTCATACAGATTAGTTTCTATTGTCTCTGTTCGCTTCCTGGTAAACGCCCTTTTCGAGCTATATAATGGTTCAGAGATGGTGCCCTTGAGGCGACCCACGCACGTATTCATCTTAGAGCCGGCACCACCTGATTTTAAAAGGGTGCGGCCTTGACTGTTTCATGGCCCACTGATGCGCCCCTCGCTTTGAAAAGTTTGCCCACCCAGTGGTCTGTTCTATTTCATGATGCTCCGCTGCATATTACGGCCAGTCGTTTTTGAGGAAAAGCAGTCAGAGATGCTCGCTACGAGGCGTTCTCGCTACTAGCTGCTTCAAACTCAATTGACTATAAAACAGCTACTCCGTACGCACGTGCCTGTACTAATCATTTATTGGTACAGTGTGCTCTTTGGTCTAAGGATGCTTTCTAACTTCATAACCATACATTCGATGTCTTGGGTTTCGAAGCAGAGAGAAGAGATATCCAGCAGAAAATTTTTACTAGAGGATTTTCAGTAATACAGAGTTCGCGGTCGCTAAGATCAGTGACTTGGTTAAAATAAAATGTAAATGCAACGCGCAATGCGTTTGAAATTGTGGTTCCATATGCACCCCATGGTGCGGCGGAAATAATGTATTGTTAAGTTGCTAACTACTATTGAATTAGGGAGGCGGTGTACGCCGTAAGGATTCAAGTCACAAGACTTTCATCACTAGAGCCTTGCGCGATCCCCGCGTACACATAACAATTTCGCCTCATTCAATTCGCAAATCATAAATTTTAATTCTGTTCCGCATTACACCTGCTAGCAGTTTTGCTAATGCAGCAACTGAACAAAATGAGACAGACGTGTGTGCGAGTATGTACGTATGTCTGCGTGAGTGCGTCAGTGCGGGCGGCCGTGTGGGCGTGCGTGAATGTGTGCATGTACGTGCGTGCGCCTGATGCACAACGTATGTACGTCGCGTGTGGCGTGCGTGTCTCTGAGGACGGTGTGCGTCCTACGGCCTGTCATGTGTTCCACCTGCCTCACTCACTCTGTCCGTGAATTTGATCTGCGTAGGCATTGAGTCTATACGTATATGTTTATATTCGCTGCAACTTATGGCTACATCCACACAGGCAAGGCGATCGAAATATAGAGAGGGATATATAATATTATTATATATATATATATATATATATATATAATATGAAGGTTACGTCATACGAGGTAGCGAGGGATTGAGTGACGGAGGGGTTAGAGAATAGAAGGGAAACGAGCGGAAATGAGAAGAAGGTGGAATAGCAGCTAGCCTTGTCAGCCCACGCTGAAAAGAAATTCTCGTTTCATGGAGAATCTAAACATTGGCCGGTCGAGCGATCATCTCTGTTGTTCGTGCGCGCGTTGTGTCGCAATAGGCAGACGAAACAGCTCGAGGGGTGACAACCG